TATTTATTTATTTATTTATTTATTTATTTATTTATTTATTTATTTATTTATTTATTTTCATTGGCAGGCCAGATGGAACCAGCCAATAAAAATAATGAGAGAATAACCAAAAGATACGGACCATTAGAATATATTTGAAAACGTTTATTATTTTGTCAGTTGTGGAAAATAAAATCAGTTTTTAGTCACATATTCATATTGTTGTGATTGAAACAGTTGTGTTGAAGAAAGTGCTGTAGACAGAAAAATGTGTTTCATTAATTTTTTTTCCACAGTGAATTTGTTCTTGTGAAAATGTCAAACACTGCAGCTTATTCCTAAAAACATCTCCTAACTCTAGGCACTTCGATAAAATTTATTTTAAGTTTCATTATTTTTGAGCTGTTTTTCCACTTGAAAAGCTATGTGCACTGACTCCAAAACAGTTCCGTTTTTAAAATGGGACCACCCATTAAGGATTCAGAGGTCTAGGAAGCAAGTCCTGCATCACTCGCGTAACACCATAAAAAAGAATTTCGGAACCCTGCAGACTTGAAGCACGYCACAATTTCTCAACAGTTTTCCAAACCAAAGCAGAAAACAAACTAGATTAAACATTTAGCTAGATTTTGAAATGATACGGGGCATCTAAGCTTTAAAGAGGGTGACTAAAGCTCACCTGGAAACACTGACGCACTGCCGGGTGAGGACTATGCATTTATCAATGTGCCAACTAACTCAGACTCAGACTAACAACAAGCACACAAAAACAGAGAGGAAAGAATTCGTAATCTGGTTCCAGACGTTACTCTGACAAAGAGGTGAGGTAGCATGGTGGTAGGAGGCCATGACTCAAAAAGAGTGCCGGGTATAAGAGATGATGTCATCACCATGAGACCCCCCAAAGATTCAACCAAAGATGACCTCTGGAAGTTACCGGGACACCAAGCCCCACCCAGGACTGAGCACACACCCTCACTCAAACACATATGTAATGCTCATGTTTGCATGAACACCTCCCCTATCTCTCTCTCACACACAGACACACACACACACACACACACACACA